CTCCTCCATGCACCCCTCTGCCAGACTGCCAGAGCTCCCTTTTAAGCAGGTCTTCCATAGCAAACATGCCCAGTAGCTGCTGAGGAGCAGGGCCTTCTTGGCCCAGTTCCACCATTCCTTTTACCATCGTGTGAGCTCTGTAAACCCCATCACAAGGGGGTTTGGAATTTCTGTAAGTCAAAGGGGCAAAAATGATCTGGAATTTGCATTCCAAGCAAAGGGAAAAGCTAGTAGGGAAGAGCTCCACATGTAACTGGATGAATAACCACCGCAAAGTGATACTAGAACTAAGACAACAGCCAACAAGAAGACATGTAGAACTGGAAGGGACTTCAAAATGTCATTGAGCTCATCCCCTCTGTGCCGGGGCAGGGTCAAATAAACCTAGACCATCCCTGACAGGGGTTTGTCCAACTTGTTCTTAAAACCCCCCAATGATGGTGTGATGGGGTCCCCAGGGTGCAACTGGGACTGTGGGACCCCTGAGCCCTCTGTCCCACCAACCCAGGGTCTTCCTCTCACACTATGATGCTGATGTCAAGCAACAAATCTCTGACAGGCACAGCACTTACACAGACATCCACAGGCAGGGACACATCCAACTGCACTACATGAACGATCTCCCAGACACTCATGAGCCATCAGTAGGGAAGCTCCAGCCAGTTCCTCCCAGCTCCCCAGTCTTACTCCCCAGAACGGTACCATCTTGCACTAGTCAGAAGCCTGACTAGTGTAAGTTCCCCCACCCTCAGTGTGGAATGGACACACACCAGCCTTTGTAAACTGAGCTGAGATCACAGGATCCGACTCTGTGGGTGCTCCGGGGCTGGAGCACTCATGGGGAAATAAAGATGGGGGCTGAGCACCCACCAGCAGCCTCCCTATCAGCTCCCCCCCAGTGACTTCCACCTGCCGGCGGGCCCCACGAATCAACACCTGCCTCTCCCTCCCCACACCTCCCGCCCACCGCAATCAGCTGTTTCGTGGCATGCAGGAGGCTGCGAGGGATGGGGAGGAGGGGGCAGAACTGGGTAGGAAGAGGTGGGGTGGGGGTAGAGCAGGGGGTGAGGCCTTGGGGGAAGAGGTGGAGGGGGCCAGGGCCTGAGTCAGAGGCGAGGCTTGGCACTTTGGAAAGTCGACACCTGTGGCTGAGATATCCCAAGCATTTCAACCAAAACACATTATATTTTACCCAAAACAAACACATTTATTAACTACAGAAAAATAGATTTGAAATGATTATAAGTTGCAGGCATAGAGATCAGAGTTGGTTACTTAAGAAACAAAAATACATTTGCAGTCAAATTTCTAAAAACTAAGCAGGATTTGAATCAAGCAGTGTCTCACCCTGACAGATGATACAAGCAGGTTAAAGATCCTCCATACACAAACTGGTAATACATTTTATTGGACCCACATGGCTACAGCACTACAAACAAAGGCAGTTCATGTCAGACTGACCTGAAATCTCTCTTTGATAAGATGGCTAATTTCTTACACAGGAAAATGCAGTAGATCTGATTTATCTGGACTTCAGTAAAATATTAGACACAGTACCACATGGAAAACTA